TCGCTGGTGACCATTTCCACCTGCACCTCGGCACGCTGGGATCTGCACGGGTGCTGAAGGGGGAGCTGTGAGGCAGATGGGCAAAGAGTTATGGAAAAGGCAAAAGGGGCCGTGGCTCCAAGGACCTGGGGGACAGATCTTATCCCTAAGGATGCCACGTACAGGATGGACACATCTGAGCCGTTGTCACAATCACCAAGAAGGCCAGTGGTGTGGCTGCCAATCCAGGGATCCTGCCTAGGGCAACCCTCGTGAGCTTCCCGTGGAAAACCATAAATGGACCCTCATAAATGGATCCTTTATTTCTCAGTTTTCCAACAGTAAAATGTGGAATAATAGCCCCTTAGTCGTAATAACTCCATATTGCAAGGCTAAATTAACTACTGCCATGTATTCTGTCACTGTTGTAACATGGATCATAGGAATAAAAGCTATATATAGCCACATAACCAATACAGGTAAATCTATCTATAAATAAAACCTCTAAGTACTGCTGCAACACAAATAATAAATAAAAGCCAAAAAGACTTAGTCATACACGCAGGTGGATTTCCAATTATGGAGGAAGCACTTTTACAGAGAGCAGAGTGGAGCACATTAAGTGGGATGGCAAAGAGAAAGGTAATAAATCATTCTGCAAATAAATTATTCTGAAAAATGGCCATTGCGGGCAGGGGTATGTCATTAAACTTCTGGAATGCAGCTTTTTTCTAGCAAATTGAATATACAGATAGCTAAGAAGTATATCTGAGCATCCTCCTACACGTATAAAAGCCACCTTTTCCTGGAGGGGAAAAAAAAAAAGAAATGGAGTAGCCTGCTCAATTTAAACACGGACACAAGTAGTTCTGTGAGCTGTGGAGTTAATGAAGCATTTGTGGAGAACAGTTTACTATCTTGCCAAGAATTTATAGCACTATAAATCCTCGTGCTGTATTTTGCTTTGAAAGAACCTCCCTGCACAGCCGAGCCCCGGCACACGTGCAGGGGACACCTGCCAAACTTCCCTGCAGCCCACCCAGGGCACACACGTGTGGGAAGGGAGGCCCAGAGAGGAGCAGGAGGCAGGATCTGCGCTGGCTGTGGAGCCCTGGTGGACAGGGAGTGGTGTGTGTGTGTTGTGGTGCTCCATGGCCCGGTGCAGACCTGCCCTCCCACCGCTTTTGTCTTTGGCCGCAGCTCCTGGGAGGCAGCCGAGGGGTCTGACAGCTGTGTTCCCCCTCTCTGCCTGTTCTCCCCATCCAACTGGCTTCCAAATGGCCCAAAGGCTTCCTGCTTTCCCCAAACTAGGCTCTGGGATGCCTGCTGGCCCACGGTTTTGCTACTTAGAAGAGAAGGAGGAGGCGGCAGAGGGGCATTTTCTTTTCCAGCACAGCAGATGGGACTTTGTCCTTCAGCAAAGCAACCTCAGATCCTGCTTTCAGGCAGGAAATGGTGGCAAGAAGAGGAAAGGGCAAATACCACAAAAATATCATTACAATAAGAGCATAATTTGAGAGGTTTATATTAAAATCTCTTTATACCAAAATATGATGTAGGTACAGTCATGCTGATATCCTATGACTGCCCAGGAGCTCCAGGGCATTCTCTCTACAGAACAGCAACAGCAATTCTCTGAAGGCAAAGCACTCCTAGTGTGTATACAGCATATGCCAGCAAAATTCAGCTTATGCCAGCAAAATTCTGCTTCTGCCAACATAACTTGCTCCAGATCATCCAAATGAAGCTCCGAGCTCCATTTCTCTAAGCGGGGAGCAAGAGTTGTACTCATGACATCCCTGCATGGACTCTCTCAGCAGTGGAGCTCCGTCAGTCATGTCCTCACACACGGGACTGGCACTGAAAGGCTGCCAGGGAGGAGTGCAGACCCAGCACTCACTCCTGCAGCTCACCATTTCCTAGGCTTACACCTTTCAATCCTTTTTAACATCTTGTTTCCTACTTCAAATAAATCACGTAGTAGATACCTAAACAATCCTTTAGTATCTGTTATGTATTTATTTACTTAGATACTTTTTCCAATGCAGATATGGCTTCCATTACAGTCAACAACATTTCAAAATCTCTTTAAAAATCTGCTGGGTAAACAACAGCCTAAAAATGAGAGTGCTGACATGCAGCTGCCCAAATGAAAATTTTGTACCAAACTTACATTTAATCCTATCTATATTTGAATGTCCTGTATTTAGATTATAGTGCTTGATGCCCTATTTTTTTCTGCTGAGTTGCATTTAGCATTTCATTCTTCCTGCTAGATACCACTTGAGATGACTGTATACACATCCTGATCCCCTACATGCTTTTGAGCAGAAGCCACTGTTCAGAAACTCATAACATTACATTTCATGTCCCTGCCCTTCCCCTCACTTTGCAGATGCAGAGGAATAGGCTACACTACACCAGCAATCTCATTTACTACCATCATCTTGCCACTTTAACCCAGTTTGCAGAAAGCTGTCATTATCCTCCATCTCACAAACTTCATACATTTCAGTGGAAAAAAAAAAACCCAAACAACTTTACTGAGCTGTAACAATGCCACAAAAAAAAAAAAAAGAGATAGGAAATGCTTATTGATAAACATCAGCAATGAAATTTCCCCCGACACTACAGTTCTAGTAGCTAAGGTGTTACTATTATTGATTCGTGATCACCACTCCAGGAACAATCAAGAATACTGAGCATGAAGCAAGAATAGATTTTTCCTCCATTGAGCCAGAAAAAGAAACCTTGCAAAACAAATTTAATTTGGGTAGAGGAGTGATGATTGACATGCAATCCAGCACTAAGCTTCCTGGCAGTTTAGGACCAAAGGTCAGCTTGCATTTTGTTCATTTTCATAATTCAGTATTTCTAATTGTTTGTATCCAAGCTTGCTGCCTATTCTCAAAAGGTGAAACCACTATAGTCCTCTGCTTTAGGAACTTGCCATTGCTCAGCTTCTCCTTCCTTTAGAAACTTACCACTGCTCAGCTGCTTCCTCCATAAATTACAAATAATCAGAGATACCAAATCACAAAACTGCAGTGGCTGCAAACTTGCAAAGTGAAGACATTTCTAAAGAAAAATGCTGGACCTCTTCCTGTACCAAAACCAAGACAAACCCCAAATGCTGGTCAACATTCCTGTGCTATTCCAATAACAACAAGCCTCTCCTCGAAACAAAGCTGCTCTTTGCAAGAAAAGTTGCAATGTCAGGGCAAGAACTGTTTCAGGATAGAGAAAACAATAAATATTAATTGATTAAATCAATCAGTAAATGTAAAATAAAATAAATAAATAATAAAATAGAAACGTGCAGGAGCACCAGTTTGCAGCCAACTGTTCTAACCCACACTGCTCTCCAGCACCTGTTGCTGTTGCTTCACTATTCAGCCTAAATACATTAAATGTTATTTCAAGCTTCTTCCTTCACTTTTTTGATTCTTTTCTTCCTATGGCTCCTGCCAGTGACAGTAAAAGATAGTCCTTCACAAAATGATAGACCATTGTAATATTGAAACTTTTATCTTTCATATGATTATCCTTTATACAGTTATTTTCCATGATTCTAAGAAATATCTACTGGGATAGCAACAAGTATCTTTTCAATAAAGCATAAACAACACCTTCAATAAAGGAAATTACCCAGCACGAATACAGAATGGAGATTCAAAATCAAATTCCCCACATGGCTACCTCAGTGTAACAGCTGAAGATAGTGCTGTTTCTCCAGAAAAAGTGACAGGACAATTTGGTTCCCAAAGTGCTTGGATGTGCTTTCCATTTGTTAGTGGATACAGCAGGTGATGGTTACGCCCTGTCCAGGGTTTAGGAAGAGACTTCCTGGGCATTCCAACATAACCTTGACTTACAAACATCTTCGGGTGCAGTTTGGCTGTTGCCCTTATCCATACTGTGTCCTTTCCTGATTGTTAGAGACTCGTATCCTGAGCTTGTGAAGGGGAATCAGAGGGGGAAAAAAGCAGGCTACCACAGCCTCTATGTGCAGAAAGCAGAAAGGAAATCCACATTGCCAATGCGAGCAATAATGCTTTGCATCCTCTTCTCCAAAGTTTTGGGAAGGCTTTGCCGTTTTCTTCACATTTTAACTTCATCAACATCATCTCTCTCTCCTGACACACCGTGACTGGAGTAAAATCTTCTCTCTCGTGGCTGTTTAATGGACTGCACAAAACGCGGTGTGCAGCAAACAAACAGCACCCCTTCCCCTCCTTTCACTGGGTCAGTGCACTCACTTCATATTTAGATTACTGTGAACATAAGCATTAAACATACATATACACCTGGACCTGGAGGCAGCAGCCTGCCAGCTCCCCTCTGCCTGAGGTACCGGCACCGCACCAGCACCGCCGGGAGCCCCCGCACCCCGCCGGCGCTTCTTCACATAAACCTTGGCGGTGCCAAGGACAGAAGGTGCGAGCAGCTTGGGGGCGAACGACAAGAGGTGGCCAATTCCTCACAGGAGGAAAAAACCCTCCCTTCACAGGGCGGGAGCCGAGCCCCGCATCCCGGGGGCTCCGGGAGGGAGGGAAAGGTCTGGACAAGTCTCTCCCCGCATCCCGGGGGCTCTGAAAGGGAGGGAGGGGAAGGTCTGGACAAGTCTCTCCCCTTATCCTGGGGGCTCTGGGAGGGAGAGGAAGGTCTGGACAAGTCTCCCGCATCCCGGGAGCTCTGGGAGGGAGAGGAAGGTCTCCCCTTGCCCCTCGAAGGCCTTAGGATGGAAGGGCCAGTCTCCCCCGGTACCCCGAAGGAATTGGGATGGAGGGGAAAGTCTCCCCGTGACCCCCCATCCCGGGGGCACCGGGAGGGAGGTACGGGTCTCCCCCCGCCCCCGCTGGCACCTCCCTTGGCCCGGGGCCCCCCCACATCCCCCGCCCAGCGGCCGCCCCCTCCCGCCTCCCGCAGCGCCGCCCCCCGCCCGCCCGGCCCCATCCCTCCATCCCTCCATCCCTCCATCCCTCCATCCTCCCTGCCGCCCCCCGCCCCTGCGGCCGTACCTGAGCGCCGGAGCCGATGTGTCGGGGGCTTCTGCGGGGTCCCCCCCTGCCCGTGCCCTGCAGGTTGACGGGCGCGCTCTGCGGGGGCTCCGCGCCCATCGCCCCGTGCAGGGTGGCCGTGACCACGGCGATGGGGCGCCCGGGCGGGCAGCGCGGGCACGGGCAGGCTGTGCCCGGCCAGGGGCAGGGCTGTGCCCGGCCAGGGCAGGGCTGTGCCCGGGGCTGCCGCCGGGGCTGCCGCCGCCGCCCGCTGCCTTCAGGAGCGCCGGGACCACGCCGGGCTTGGCGCTGCCGCTGGAGCCGCTGCCCACCAGCCACCGCCAGCTTCTGCCGGGAGAGACACAAGGGAGAGGGAGAGAGAGAGAGAGAGAGAGAGAGAGAGAGAGAGAGAGAGGAGCGGCACCGTCACCGCAGGGCTGCACCGGACCCGGCCCCCGGCCCCCCGCAGCACGGATATTTGGGGCTATTTCCCTTTGGCTTTGGTTGGTTTTACGGTTTTCCTCTCGGCAGGGGAAGGGCTGGGCTGGGCTGGGCTCCCCCTCGGCGCTCGGGGACTCGCGGGGGCACTCGGGGCTTCCAAACTGCTGCTTTTTCCCCTTTTGTTTTTTGGGTTTTTTTTTCCCTCCTTTGGTTTATACCTCAGTCCTGGTATAAATGACCCTGGCATAGGTCTAGATAATACCGCGGCTTCAATTAATAATAAGAGGCTTAAAGAACGTTATTTTCAACTTTCTCTTCCACTGGCCTGGGAACCCTCTCCACGTGCCCGCCGCACCCCAGCGCTTGGCGACTTCGTGTGTTCCCTCACCCTGACTGACTTTGGAGTCGGTTTGTTGCTTTCCCTTTAACTTTTTCTTTCTCTCACAAACTTCTACTATTTTTGGTGGATTGTTTTACAATGTGATGGTATTATTATTATTATTATCATTATTACTATTACTATGATTATTATTACCCTCCTCCAAGCTATCTTTTTTCCATAGCACCGTTTTAACTCAGAGCTCTCTGTTTTTCTTAACAGTTCCTCTTTTACACTGCTACAGAATGGCTATTCCATCATCTGTAATAGTAGCACATTGCTTTTAACTTTGTTATATTATCTCAGAGGAACCTGTATTTGAGATTTCTATAGGCACTGCAAAGTTGCCCTCTCATAAATGCCAGTGTCTGCATAAAATGCTCACTTTTGGAAAGGAAAGAGAAAACTTTTATAAGTTTTTGCACTTTAAATGATCTCGGGAGCTTTTCTTATTAATGCCATTTAAGCAAGTTAGTTATATGTGGGAGGGGGAGGTAATGCTGGTTCAAGTCCCTTTTGATACCTTTAATTATTAAACATCTCATTTTTACAAGAGTTGACATCTAAGGTACTTAATCCTGCAAAGATTTCTGCCCCTGTTTAACTGACTGAGCCTGTGGGCTCCAGTGCAATCATATCCAATGTACAGCCTTGGGAAACTGCTGTGCTCCCCTAATAAAGTCAGCCAGAGTTTTGTTGTCCACTTTGCTTGTTTACAATGCAGTGTATATATATATGTATGTGTGTGTATATAAAGCTACAGATATAGTTAGTTCTTTCCAGAATCAAAGCTCAAAATCTTTCTTCTGAGGATAAAGTACAAGCCTTGTAATACAAAACTAACTGACTTCCATGAAAATACATCCCTTCTTACCTTTAAACCCATTATACACTTAAAGGCTGTAAAGCCCTAGTGGACAAATATGTTTGCTCCAGGAACTGTGGTTCTGGTGTTTATATAAAACAGCAAGCATGTGCTTTGCCAGAGATACTTGCTTCAGATTTTCATAGACAGAAATGACTTTTTTTTGGAGGTCTTTTACAACCTGAATGATTCTGTGTTTCTGTGATTCTAATGCCAGCATTATTCTAGTAACTGTGATTTCATATAAATTGTTTTAAGCTTTGTCCATTTTTGCCTTTACCCTTTAATTCTCCCTATCCTAACAGTCATCCCAAGGAAGCACAGGCAATATTCTCCTTAGACTACGCTGCTGTGTGTCATAAGTGTTTTGAAGATAAAAGAACTTTTCTCCGAGCACAGAAATACTGTCTGTTAGTTTGAAAGTGCTCAAGTGGAAGCTCAGGGATGTTTTATGTAGGTGGGAAAAGTTGCTTATGACAAAATTCCACAAAACTCTATTTCTCTGCTTTGTTGTAGCACAGTTTTCCACTGGTGTTCCTTGCACTTATTCCACACCCCAGTGGTGCTGTAGGTGCCAAACAGGATTGGGACAGAATATGAGAGAGCTGAACACCACCTCTCCTGCTTTATGAAATACTTCCTTGCACGGCACCTTATTAACCCCTGAACTGTACTGACTCCCTGTTTTCACATAAATTCCTAACATGGAATATCCTAGTGGCATTAGTGCAGCTTTATTTTGCTCTCAAGGCAGTTCAGCAACGGAAAACATCTGAGCAAATAAAACTTCCTGATCCCAAAAGACAGACAGTCCTTGGTAGCTCAGTGGAAAGCCCAAGTAAATTAAGTAGGAGTAGATTATGACTTCCCTGACAAAATGCAATAGCAACTAATTGCTTTTTGTCCTGTTTCAAAGGAGGGGATTGTACAGACAAAAGCAGAAATTGTATGAACAAACAAAATCACTGCTCAAACTACCCTCCATCCCATTCCCACTGTGAGTCAGTTTTGTGTGTCTTTGCATGTGATGAATTTAACATTTTCCTAATAGTCTGACAGTCCCTCCTGTTCACGTGTACATAACCAGGAGAGCTGAGGAAATAAGGGTTACTGCTGCTTTCAGTCTAAGCTGGGATAATGCTTGTAAAACTGAACATTCATCTCCTAATGGGAAACTTTCATTTTAATTCAGGTTTTGTGGCCTTTCTAAGCAAATACAGGGAAAACATTGTGCCCCTGGAATGGGCTTGCAAGGACCAATCGGGCCACGTCTGTGACCTCCTGAGGGAACAATGTCATGATAAATTAATTTAAATAACTGCAAATCTTAGAAACTAAATATGGAAGCATATACATGGGATCAGGTGCTCAAGATTGGCTTCCAAAAGAGACTTACAGAAACTGTCTGTTTGGGGAAAAGCAGCAACAGCATCTCTTCTGTGCCTCATTTATTAATTTTCTAAAATGTACCTGCCAAAACTTTAAAAATATCCCCCCCTTAATCAGATTATATTAGTTAAGAGATGAGCTACGAGGTGGTTTTTCTTTGTAACAACCATTTTTACTTTATAATGCTGAGAAGACATTGATAAAGGAGTGTTGGCAGAAACAAAGATTATGATACGAGAGATTAAAAAAAAATCCTCAACAAAACCTGCATCTGCTGCATTCTATTTCTGCCAGATTAATTAAAAAGAATAGTCTTGGTTTTTAAAGAGAAAGAAAATCTGCATTTTGAGAGTCAGTCAGCATAACATATTCTCTGACACTTTTGGAATGATGAACAATAAGACACTAAGCAAGCTTTGGACACTGCAGCAGAAAACATGTGCTGATACAATGGGAGAGCCGAAAGAGAGGTGGGGGGGGGGGGAAAGAAGGCAAAAAAAAATATTGGCTTTAAATGCTGGAAAGCAGGTCTCTGCTTCTCATCCTCAGCATAATAGCCCTCACAATACACCAATTTTGAAGCGGCGCCTTTTCAATAGCAACACAACTTTCATTTTCGCCGCAGGACGCCACAGGCAATCCCGAGTTTGGAATATGTATGCCGGTCACACGCGAGCACACCACAACGTGCTGGAAAGCTGCCACTTGTTTATGACTTCCCAGCTTGTCCGTGGCACGGGCTCAACGTCTCAAAGCAGAGCTAATATTTTTTTCCATATGTATCGAAATACCTCTGGCCTTTCCGTTCATCTGCGCGTGTAAAACCCCTCCCCGTCCCCTCCTTCCCACCCAGCTCCGTGCTGGGAAGGTTTGCAGGGGACGAGGCAGCCGCGCAACAGTTTAAAAGCCTCAAATTTGGTTACTCAAATGCTGCTTCTGCTCTCACACACCACAAATCATTCTGTTTGGGGAATAAAGAGACGGGAAGAGCACCGGGAGGAAGGATTTGCAGGCGGCTGTGCAGTAGGACACACGCAGGCTCCGGCCAGACTCCACACAGACAGCATCACGTCTCCTGTGAGGGTTTGGCTCCTTCATCTTCCCTCTGCTGCAGCACATCTCCCAGCCTTTGCTGATCTGGTGTCAACCTGCCTTCACACATCCAGCTCAAACAGGAACACGCCGTACTCTGCACGGGAGTTACTCCTGGCTGCCCTGTGCCACGGCAGGGATTTAAAACGGGCACGTGCCTCTCACCAAACCCTCACATTTCCCCAATAAAATATGGGACCTGTTTAAAAAGGACCTAAAATTCACTGCCCATCACATTTATATTTTAACACCTGTGTGCTGTGATAGAGACTTCAGTCCATTAATCTTTCTAGTGTGACACCCTGACAAAGCAGTTTCGTTGTGAAAAACTGCAATTGTTTTCAGAGCAGTACCAGTTCTTTTCCTCATGGCCCCATGGCTATGAGAAAACATTTGGCATAACCCTGAGAGTTTATTTGGCATAACCCTGAGAGTTTATTTAGCATAACCCTGAGAGTTTATTTAGAATAACCCTGAGAGTTTATGTAGCTTGCAGAACACTGGCCATCCACTTTCAAACCAAAATGATGGCTTGTCAATTAATAATTTAACATTCAGCACTCATCTAAAGCCCTGCATGCAAACCAGCTGAACAGACTTCTCCAGCAATGAGGGCCATGGCCTCTGCTCATTTACCCAGTTGTCACAATATTCAATATTCAGAGAGTGACAACAAACAAATGCAGCATGGACGGGCTGTGGCACTTCAGTACAGTGTCTTAGGATTTTGATCCAGTCCTATGAATATCCACATATTTCCCATATACACGGCTGAACCTGCCTGATCTGCACCTTAAGTCATGAGCCAATAACCTGCATGACTTTGCACACTGAAACAGAAGCGAGCAGGGCTTCAGCTGAGCACACACCCACCCAGGGGCACCCAGAGGAGTTGGGTGGGTGTTCATGGAGGCAAAAGGCTCCACAGTCTGTGTTTTATCCCTGGGCTCCCATAAAAAAATGCTTCCTATTGCATACAGCCCTCGAGGAGACATTAAAGCAGGTTCTCGTAGGAACAAGGACGAAGATCACGCATGGAAAAGTTCTGTGCGCTGTTCCCAGGAACACCGGATTCGATGTAATGGTGTTCGAGACGTGCAACCGAGGAGGAGGAGGAGGAGAAGGAGGAGGAGCGTTTTAAGGAAGGCTGGGGCAGCTCCCCCTGCCAATCGCTCGGTA